TTATTATAAAGGAAAATAGTATTATATTTCATCATTCTCACATCTGTAAATGATTCTTTCTTTAATTATAAGTAACATAAACATTAGTACAATAGTTTGGTAGTTCTGCTGGTTATCATTCTTGACCTTTATTAAAGACACCACATACTGTATTTTGCAGCACTCCATGCTCAATACAACCACTAAATAATATAGTATGCATGTATATGTACTGTAGGCATAGAAAGGTATTATTACTAAAGGCTTATTGTGATCGGTATGTTGGCTTGCTGGTATCATGGACGGAGTTCTGAACAGACCCACCGTGTGCTCGCCCAGGGCCCCTGGACCTGTTGTTCTTCTTACTCAATCAAACAACCACAATGACCACAAAGAGAGGAAAAAGCAACCGATCCACGAAAAAAGCCCACTAGCACGTGTGTGTGCAGGGGCCCATTGTCTCCTAATCTGACCATATCTAGACCATGAGGATAGCCAAGATGGCCCGGGAAAGTAAAATGCCGTGTCGGGCTAGTAAATCTAGCCACTCACAAGCCCAATCAGGCAAGTGGTGAAAAATAATTAAACACATCGGTTTTTTTTCTGGAGATGAGAAGGGAGCCATCCCGCTCCCTTCTCATCTCTTGAGAGTTTCACACTCACAGTACCAATCAGGCCACTTGCCCGGCCAGACAATGTGAAAAATCAAAACCTTCATGTTGAACCCTGTCTGGCATTTGTTAAATTAACTGAATAAATAAACTATTAACGATGAACAGTTTAATACAGAGAATCAGGGCTCTTGACACGTTTTTGAATACATTTCTAAACGTGCTCCCCAGTCTGGCCTCTCATTCATCAGTCTAAATAACACTAACTAGGTAGTGCCGGAAGAACAATAATTAGATCTTCGGTCTCATATGAATATTTTTCACCTAATTGGCCGTGTGAGGCTCAGGCACACAGGAGGCACATTCACTCGGCTCGTCATTGGCTTTCTTCTAACCCGATTGTTTTCCACTGTGCAGGAAATATCCGTTTATATATAGATAATACATTTAGAGACTCAAATGCATTAGTTTGATGAAATGAGACGCAAATTAGTTACACCATGTATTACCAAGTGAACCAAACTATGCTTGTTCGACAGTGCTTATCATCTCATCATTTAGTTGGATGCTGTTTAGAGATTTTGTGTGTGCGTGTGCGTGCGTGCACGATAAAGTGGAATACAGCTTCTACAGTTTTGCCTTTGTCAGTTTTAGATTCATCGCTTCCTTTCATGTAAAGGTCCCATGTTGTAAAAAGTGAGATTTTCCCTTTTTTTCTAATTATTAAATTACGTCTAAGTGCTATAATAATACCGTTAAAGTATTGAAACGCTGAGTTCACGTAGAAAGAGACACAGCCCCGTATTCAGAAACTGTCCCTTTAAATGAGCCGTCAGGATTTCTGTACAGTTATGTTACAAATATACAATTTATGGTTTAAACGTCAACATACGAAATGTGTCTCAGCTTATTTCCGGTTGCAGTGTATGTGAGTGACATCTACTGACAGGAAGTAAACATGGACCCAAGCTGTTGCCTAGCTACGCATTTACACTGATATGCACATAAATACAGGTATATTCATGGTTAAAGTTTTTTGAACATTAAAGCATGTAAACATGTTCTAGTAGAAACCCAAAATACAAGAATGAACCTGGAAACGAGAATATGTCTCCATTAACTCCCGACTTTAAAATGCTCCCTTTTCTGTTTATGGTGACGAAGGACAAACTATTCCAGCACAAGAACAGATGATGGGTATTATAAAAGTACGTACTAACTAACAAGTGGTGTCCACACCCCCTCCCATCCTATCTCAAGGACTCTGATGGCCTCCCCAGACCAGAAGGTGTTCACCCCCCGGTGTTCTCTGCCCTGCGCCAGTCCAGAGTGGTGTCATCCACCTCCGAGGAGGAAGAGGCCCTCACAGAGAAGTTCCTCAAGATCAACTGCAAGTACATCACTGGTGGCATGGTAAGACGCGTTATAGAAGGCACTCTGTCTGCACCCTCCTGGTCATGTGACCGACAGTTTGCTGCAAACTGCTGTGGTCTGAAGATAAAAAGAAAAACACCCCTGAATGTGACAAATGGAGAGAGATTGGCAGTGGTTGTATTGGTATCAAACTAAATATATGATTATTCTATACAGCCTGGTGGCTGCAAGTAACGCACTTCAAATATAAGTCCACATTAAAGCTGTTTTTCTATTTCTTGGTTTGTTGTTCAGCGTTGTAAACCATCGATACGATCAGAGATCAAGTTCTTCTTCTGAGATTCGGTAGTTTACACCCTTCCACAATAACACAAGAACAAATAAGCAGAAATACCAAGCGCTTCACTTCAGCAGACGATGCCGTCCGTGACGACCACTTTCACTTTTGAAAAACATGATCGTCTTTTGCTGTTTCAGTTGCTAATTCGGTGCCCTCCGATGGTATTCTCAGCAAAACATGAAATCACCAACCCGAGGCAGACGTAAACAAGGCAGTTAGAGGGAAAGTCATTCCACTGAAACGCACCGCCATCTTTCACAACTGAGATCCTAATAAACAGAGGCACTCCAGCGCGCCGTTTGTTTTTGTTTGTTGTTGTCGAATTGATTTAAGAAACCCTGGAACGAGGATGAAATGAGAGCACAGTAACGTGTGGGCACATGTGTGGGCGGATCTGAATAACCCTGCAGACCAGCACATGAAGAGGAGCGTCTCTCCTGCCGACTGTAGTTTAATTCTGCTGATTAGAAGTAATGTTGTTCTGCAGCCCCTTGAAGTGCTGTAAAGTGAGTTATCTAAATTGATGATCTTGAAAGGTCTTGGGTACAGTTGCATGTTGTTTTCAGATCCTCTTCACCTCCGTTCAGTTCCTTGTTTTAGTTTTTTTGACTGAGATCTGACTGTTTGACCTTGGTTCTAAGATAATACAATAATGCTAGGATAATACAAAAGAAGAACTAAGAAAGCATATTGTGTGTGTGTGTGTGTGTGTCAACACACTACTCTGTCCAGGCAGCTGTCCTGCTCTCACACACACACACACACACACACACACACAGATCCATGGTATTGAACCACAGCTGATTCACTCCCAGGTACCAAATGAAAGCACTGAAGTGGTCACGGTGCCAGCAGTCAATAACTTCTACTTGATTTAGGACATTTGCGGTCTCAAATTGATTCGGCTTCCAGTTCTTTATGTGACAGAGGTGCTTTTGATTATCTTGCGGCGGTCGACGAACATGCTAAGCTCTGTGTTTAAAGTTTTGATGGGGTTCTAAATTCCTCCCTCTCTTCTCCCGTGTCGATTCAGGGTGCGGTGAGCGGGGTGTTGCTGGTGACACCCAACAACATCATGTTTGACCCCCATCGGATGGACCCACTGGTTCAGGCCCACGGGTGCGAGGAGTACGGCATCATGTGTCCCCTGGAGGAGGTGCAGTCTGCTGCCATCTGCAAGGAGATCACCGACCATAAGATCAGAGAGGCTGTGCCCGAGTAAGAAAGAAACGTTGACATTCGCTGTTGTTGTTGAGTGTGTATGGTAAAGACCTCTATGAAGACTAACACATGTAGTTATTTCAAGTATATAAACCCTGACTCGTGATTCTAATTTACTCCTACATACGCTCTTATAGTTACGCTTTCTATCTTTCCTCACAGTTTAATTCCAAAGTGCTTCCTCCCACTCTCACCTTTCCCAGAAACGCAGCAACCTCGCTATAATCAATGTCATTCTCTGCTGCACCCGCGCTCAGATTGCATCAGCAACCAATTTCAAGTTTTCAGTTTAATCCCCCCCCCCCCCCACACACATACCAAAATATAAAGGAAACAGCAATTACACCAGGGTTAATAATGAAGTATGCCTTCACCCCTCCTACGTACGGATTGCTCACCTCTTCATGCACTAGGAAGCAGCCACTTCAGAGGATCCACATGTTTCCTCCCATGAGTTTTCGCTTCATTTAAATTGTTTTAGTGTTGTTGCTGTTGAAGAGAGATTGATGTAAGGGCAAATGTGATCTAATATTAGGAACCCTGTGGAGTCAGTTTTTGGGGGTCTGAGCGGTTTTTGTGTTTAAGCAGTCGAGTGTTGCCCGTGGAGTAGTTATTGTGCTGGCAAATGATCGGTTTGTGTGCCAGGCCCCTCGCCCTCGCTCTCGCGCTCTGTCTCTCTCTCTCTCTCT